CAAAATAAAATGAATAAAATGGCAAAAACACATTTTTAAGTAAATGTCAGCTCTAACATTATAGTTGATCAAACATTAAATATAATATACAAAAAATATATGGATGAGAGGGAAGACTTAACATCCAAGGAGAAACAAAATATTTATGCAACGTAACATGTACATAGTAAGGTTTTCTCATACACATGTATGAACACGCACAAAAAGACTGAATTTTTTTAGAAAGTTTTTCGCTTCTCATCAGTTTAATAAATGTGGTAAACCGCTGGCTATTCCCTTGTCTCTTCTGTTGCGGAGGAAGTCATAAACCCATTCCGTAACCTAACCACGTATTTCAAAGCACTCAAATACCTTTAGTTCCGAGAGACAAAATTATTTTGGCTCCATACATTTCATTAGGTTGATCATTATCTTCATTGGTAAAAGTACACTTATCATCAACCAGTACGGGTACATAGTGTAAGAGGATTAAAGTGACAGTCCTAAATAATGTTACATTTATATTTTCCGTGATATCCGAAACCTAATTATACAAAATGAAAGTTTAATACAAACAGTGGGTGTAACTATCTTCCTATTTTATTAGTTTATCCCAAAATGTCTAGTAATAGTATATTTGTATGAAGAACATATTGTTACTATATCAGTATGCGGCTTATCCAGGTCAACTTAAGCTGCGGTTGATCATGAGTTGAAGCTAGACACACTTAGAAATATCATATAAAAAATTATTATACATAGAAAATTCACTACATTACTGACTGCTTTGTACTACGTTAGTATACTCTTATAGTTATAAGAACTAGTTCCCTGTCAAACAGTTCAACTGTATCTATAACTAGGTGATCAATTGAAAAACCCCTATTGATCAATATGCTTATTGGATACGTACTGATTATTTTGTGTAACGTAAAACTGGTTCATTAGAGTCAATTAACGACGGATCGATATTTAGCTACCTTTTTGGTGATTTATAATGTTGAAACACTCGTTTCTACCAGTAGAGAGTTCGCGAATAACTATGGGATGTCAAGTTATCGTAGCATTCATTTCCTGTTTATCTTCGTCATGAACCAACTTGATAAATGAAGCAATACAGTTCAGGCTATAAAAAAAACAATTTTACTCAGATTGGGCGTAAATATTTACTTATATTTGAAACTGGTTTCAGTGGTATACTAACTTTCAGTGTCGGCACTTCAGTCTATCTGGATTCCAGCTATTTGTATATGATTTCATGTGTTCGCTCATTTTCGCCCTGTGACCTTTAACGATCAGTTATTTCTTATTCAGCCCTGGGGATAATATGACTGAAACTATGTGGTTCTAAAAACTTGGAATCCCAAACGAAGATTTTTTCACTATGTTTATTCAACTCTCCATGTCTGGTTTAATATATTTCCTTAAAAAGCATGTTTACGATATTTTTCAGAGATAACCATTAGTTTTACTCACAGATATAATGTGAGTCACCTATTTAAACTACTTTATTTTGAAAAAAACTCGCGCTGAGAATAGATCCTTAAAAATCTATATCGAACTGTTTATATTACTGATAAGTATGCTAGATATTCTTGCTATAACAATCTTTTGTCAGTAAGCAGTTTATTTTTATTGACACACACCATATCAGATATTCAAAGTGACAATCTATAGTTAATTATTGTTAAACACCTTCTTAGATAAAATGCTAATTATAACTAGTAAACATACACCTTGTATTTATTACAGACAACTATTCCTCTTAATGTGTGAATGCTTAGCTTAATTGTTTATGATAGTTGAATTCAAATATTCTTATAGAGAGACAACTAAATAGATCTTAACATTATAATCTGTACAGATAGTTGTCAGATGTCTGATAAGTGATGCAAAGTACATAATTTATTTCAGCATTAAAATAAATAAGTATTTACATTTCATTAACGAGAACCTTTTGAGTACATACTGCTACAAGTTTGTACTCAATGTACAACTAGACTTTAGGGCACAAAGTGGTAGTCCCTCAACATAAACTTAAATGTAAGCTAAAAGAAATAGAAGACATAATAAACATCCTACAATTTAATAATTTTCCTAAAAAGATTATTAAAAATATAATAAAAGAAAACTGTCATTTTGTAAATGACAATCCTGCTTAAATATCTGGGCTACTTGTTTCTGCTGTCTATGAAATGTTTGCGACCTTTCGCTGCACAAGTTACAGAAAAGTACAACAAGAGACATCGTGGTTGCTGACAATATTACATAGAAAAGAATACACATTATTCAGATTTCGATTCCTGAACTTCTAAAATCACTCAAAATTTGTCATCAGGACGGATTAAGAAATAAGGAAAAGAAATTTGTTGAGATACTTTGTGCTGAGAATTCTATATTGTACCGAAAATATAATATTGAATAAAGCCATTAATAATAATAATGAAAGTTCTTGGATTGGTACCGTGGATTTATCTTGCCAACAATGTATGAAAGAAGAATTATAATGGATATTGAAAACGTACATAATTAAAGCTTTCTGTAAGACAACTAACACTGTAAAAACCGCTTTAGGTAGAATAACAGATAAGATCCTGTTCACCTCTACACAAAATTGCGTCTACAGATTAGGCTGTGTCTATTGTGATGCGTTCTATAGTGGAGAGTCTTCCCGTGAGATCTCGACTCGTAACAAGGAACATTTAAGTTACACAAAAAGACTTAATAATTCTGTAGAATCGGAAAATTTACAGGTTCAATCAGTAATAGCAGTCCATGCTTATTTTAGTAATTACCAAAGTGATATTAAAAATATAAAATTAATTCAGAAGGGTTTTTCAAACTACAAGAAGAGGCGAGTAGCCGAAACGTTTTACATTATGCTAAATCCCCCAGCCCTCAATTCGGAAAGAGGGCCTGAATATTCATCCAATCTGAACTTTTTATCCAAACAACCACATTTGACCTTATTTATTTTCCACACAATCTACACACTCACACATACAAACACACAATTTCAATCCTACTACTTCATATTACAAATGCATACATTTTTTATACCCACATTCTCATACACAAATTAATACAGTGATAGGTCGCACAAATTCACCTTGACCATGAATAACTTGATATTGGCATATTCAGACATATTATGATTTCGATTGTACTAAAAACATTCTTCACTGTTTCCTTTGAACTATTTAAACGTGTAAATAAATAATATATGTTATATCCGGTGAAGATTAAACTACAGGTAAATTCCAAGGACTATTCATGGACTAATATTCTATAAATATTCTTATTGTATAACTACTCAACAATTACACTATGGATATTTATATTCCTTTTATTATAAGCTTTGTTTTGACCTATAATTTATTATTGTACGATTTACGGTTCTTAAGTTATGTTCAGTTTATTAACTACTGCCTCCCACATTCACAGACACTTCTTGGGCTTATTTGTGTACAAATATTATTTCCTATTTTATGGTACGTTGCGGTCTGTGTGATTGATATATAAACCAAGTATGCATGAAATAAACGATTCGATTCATATTCGGAAGCTGGTATTGTGTTCTGTACTCAAGTGGAAGGGCTCGTAGGACATAGGACCAATAAGGACGCTAAACTGCCCACACCGCTTGAACGTCATTGGTTGGCCTAGTGTGAAGATTCGTATAAGTCGTACTCGGATTGGTAGATAAGTCGTGTGATAGAAAGACCAGACGTCAAGGTCATAACAATATATTTGTAATACCCAATGAGTAGAAAAGTTAGATTTGCTGACGTTTCATGACTTAACGTAAGCCACTTCTTCGGGGAATAAATAATCAAATTAAAACTAATCCAAGTTTAAATAGTATGACATTGATTTATTCAGACCTGTTTTTTGATCGATCACATAACATTCTTATTGTTCCGTTGTACTATTTAGACTTGGATTAATTTCCATTTGTTTATTTATTCTCTGAAGAAGTGGCTTACACTAAGTCACGAAACGTCAGAAAATCTCAGTTTTCTACACATTGGGATAGTACAAATATATTAATTTATAACAATCTACCCAATGCTCAATTTATTCGAAATTATCAAATCAAACCTTGGTAACGATACCTATTTAAACGTGTGTTAATTTATTTACTCTGAAGAAGTGGCTTACATTAAGTCAGAAATACAATTTTGACTTTCTACCCAATGCTCAATTTATTTGAAACTACCAAGTCCAACCTTGACACTGATACCTACAAACCGAATGTATATTTTAGTTAATGTCGTCATCAAAGTGTAAATACATCTTATTATGAATGAGAACTTCTTTATATTGCCCATGTGATGATAGAGTTTACTAATTACGAGTTCAATTTACGTCTATCTGATCAATAACCTATTGACCAACAACAAATACGGCATATATAATTATTGTAAGTCAAGACAGTCTTTTGAATTTAATGAGCGTCGGGGAGGATTATTCTGATGAATCGGACATCATAATTAGCCCTACTGTAATCAGGTTCGTCCACTTTTCTTTAATGAAAATGTCTTACAAAAGATTGGAATTAGATCTGTTCTTTATATTATTTGTATTAAAAGATTCAAACAATAATAGTTTGTATTTTATTATTATTGATAATTCGTCAAAATGAAGTGAACTTTTTTAAAACACAGTTAAATATAAACAAAGCAAAGGGTAAATTATTCCATCAATAAACTTTTAAATATGAGTTTCATATCTTTCTATATATATTGTTGACAGAAGGATCTTTCTCAATGAAAACGCATAAAGAACTTATGCAATATTTTGTGAAAAATGCGATCTTTGAGATACATATATGATGTCATAATACTTGTAAAGGTAAATGTTAATTTTGTCTTTTCATTGTATTCACTTCATGACATATGTTGGTAGAAAAAACACCAAAAATATCACAGAAGACAATCTTTCGTTTAGAGAAGAATAATCTCTACACAAAAATTGGATAGGTCAGCTTCCAAACTCTTTCTCTCTCCTACACAAACGTACTAAACAATTGGCATAGTTTGTGAGACTTTAGCACGTGGTGTACGCGGTGTAAACGGAACTGCACCAAGTTTTCGACCAATACACAGTCGTGGACAAGCTATAGTCCATGCATACAATATTAAAGCTAACCAACTAGATGCCAGTTTCATCCACATATTTGCCCATGATTCTGATAAAGTATCGACACGTGAAATTTGTGGACTAATTGTTTTTGGAAACATAAAATATAAAAAAATAACACTGTAAACAACATTATGATTCGCTCTACTTTCTACAGTTTTAAAATCATCACTGGGAACCCAAATAGCTCAACGATAACTTTACAAACAGTGAGGCTAAGTGATACGGGTTCGAATCCCACAGGAACCATCAGTACTCCCAAGACTGAAGGTGAGTGCTAGCTAGTACAAAACTTAGGCCAAGAAAGGTTTACTGTCGACTACCTCCACCTACATAAAATCTCATTTAGACTAGTGACCAGATTACAAATTGATTGGTAGAATTTAATTAGGACTAAAGGATTAGATAAACACAATACTGTTCACTATTCAATCATCAATCAATCGATTGTAAGTGAATGATGCTATACGGTTGCCTAAAAACAAACGGAGCACGATTTAAACAAATACATCAAAACTCTAGCGCTTTAATCAATTAAATCACCGTTCTAATTGGCGTCAGTAGAACATCATAACTTGAGGTAAACAGTAAATTTGAATCCAATTTACGGAATTAAGTAGATGTAATCTTATGTAGTTTTTCAATAAAGATGAGTAGTATTGGGATAGTATTTATAAAATATTTTGGAGTCATGTAATCATGAGTAATTAATAGAAGATAGTATGTAATTATTGTACTTAAATTTTCCGTAATTTGTCAGTAAAAATCTCAACTTGCTTCAGAATCTTATATCCTAACTTGATTTTAAATTGATTTTTCGATTAACAGCTTGCTCAGTTTTCCGTAGTTTTAATTGCTTTAGACATCGACAAATATCATTCCAGTATTTCATAAGATCTGTCGAATTCAGGAAATCTACGTGAATTGTTCATGATTAACCTGATTTTAAGTTGAAATCTTTCAACACGACTTGTAATATTAATTGCATAATATCTGCAAACAGTTATCCAAGCAGCTTCATAGAGAAGTATAAACTGGATTTCCATCTCCCCAAAGGATAAGCTTTCTCTTTTGGTCGCCCCTATGTGCATCTACCAGTTCTCCTGCTCTTATGGCGTGACGTATATAGGTTGTAGCCAGAGCCTGCTTACAACTCGGATACGAGGGCATGTTCCAGTATGGTTTTACAAGGATAAGAGGAAAGCAGTTAGAAGTTTCAGTCCTGAAGATTCAATGGATGCCAACCACTCAACTGATTCACAGATTGATTTTAAAGTTGTTTATACAATTCGTCCAAATCTCCCTAGATTTCTTTGTACTCATCTTCTTAAACCATCCACAGTAATTGCCATTCATGAAATGAAGCCAGAACTGTGTGTAAAAATGGAATACGTCTTATCCTTATCTTTACTATTGTCTTAAACTAAGATTATTGTCACTGTTTTATTTCGCATTTGAAAATATCACCATGATTTTATTCATAACTGTTTTTTATATCACTTCAGTTCCTTTAAATCTTGTATTACCTTTAATTATTGCAACAAAAACAATTTAATTACTTTATTCCATTCACATAATAATCCATTGTCAACTTATTACTTTTACAAGGCTTTTAATTTCTACATACACGATCTTTTATTGTTATTATCTACACTATACAATCTAGAATTATAGCCTTTCTATTACATCATCGTGTTAATTCATTCCTCATATGTCCTCAGTTTGATAATAAACCCGTTGTAAAGAGATCCCTTAGCTGAACTTCGTGTTTTTAATGTCTAACATCTGAATACTAAAACACAACATGAAATTTGATTAATAAAATCCTAATTATCCTCGGTGAATTAAAATAGGTTGAGGCATGTTACTAGTACAGGTTTAAACAGTCACACTCTCATTTATCAAAACGCAAACGTAAAATAATGAATAAAAGGGTAAACTTACTTGTACCAATTAGTTAATTGAGTCATTAAATATAAAGTGGCCAATGCATAAATGAAATGAAACCAAGGATAAGAGTAAACTGAAGCAATCGCTTCATTATAAGTCGTATGACCGTCACGCGGTGCAGCAGTATTTAGCATAGTTCCAAGGAAACCTTAAATATAAAAAAGTCAATAGAGTGAAAAAAAAGTGAAATGATCTAATTAGATTGTTTGTAATACTAATATTAAAACACTTACTTATTTTCGAACTAATCTTTCCAATAATATTGTTCAGACTGATAATTACACGTTCACGATTAAACTATTTAGCCTAGAGAACGGAACACCATTAAAAGTATCAACCAGATTTTTACATTTCCATCAACTCTTCCAGATCCTTAAAACTTTATCTTATGCCACTTAGTACAACATACTTTATCATGTAGATGTGCCCACAAATGCCCTGGTACGGCCAACAGTGGGGAGAGTCCACTCTCCCTCTCGAAATGCTCTCACATGGCCACGCGTATATAGCCTCTTCCAGGGAAGTCCTACTCACTGCCTTCTCGTGGCGGGGGTGTTGTTTACGAAAATGAGAGGACGAAAAGCGAATGTCCGACGCTTTAACCGGATTCCAAACCAATGGTGCACATGGGCTCCAGTATCCTGAAACCACAAATGGCGTATGAACCATTTGTTGGTCACCGGCTTCCATGGGACTGCATCTCCTTACGATGCTCCACTGCCTTGTGGATCAGACCTTCAGGTCGAAGGCTCGGGGAGTGGCCCCCTAAGAAAATCACCTGCTTCGGTTTGGGCACCTGTACAGTATCACAGCCCTCACACATCGAATGAGATTTGTGTGGTGCATATCTGTTTGGTGCCTCCTTGTACCAATATCTATGTGTTAAAATAAATAAATTATGTAGATGAGACTAGTAGCTATACAATTTAGAGTCTATTATCATAAATTAAATATGGCACTTTCTACTTTAGTTACTTAAACTATCACTGATCAAACGGGTGTTTTTCTAACCAGATGAACAAGGATTGAGTTGTTGAGACTAAAGATGTATATTACAGGTAAAAATACCACAATAATTCTACTTCATAGAAGATATAGAGAGCAGTCCTCAGCAGAATATTTCTTACATAGTACGGCTGATTATTTTTGAAAGCTTAATGATCCTATTTTCTTACCGAAGCTTCTTGTTGAACTCAGTACAGAAAAAGGTGCTGACCGAATAAGTTGGCCGTCACCAGGGTATGTAACAATAAGATTCTGTGTTTTCAAGATGTAGTCAGAGAAGAACACTAGTTTTACATAGTACATTTTATTCTAATGTTAAATGATCAGAGGAAATCAGGCGGAGCAACTGAATAAATCAAATACTTCAAACTGAGAACCATAAGTACAAAACATTTATTGAACTTTAACAATGGATATTTCATCACTGTGAGCATGAACAAAGGGACACAGATACAACTAAATGAAGAGTCCTAAATGAGACAAAACGCTTGTCATCGATTCCACTGCTAGTGATAATCTAATTTCACTATTTCTCGAATGATAAAATCACAACGTATTAACGGTTTTGAACCTGGATAATTATTTAAATAATACCGACTTGATAACGAATTCTGGGTTGAATAAATACAATTCTGCTATCGTTTGTTGGCGTTTCTTCAAATTCGAAGCTATTGAATCATACTAGACAAATAAGACATTTACGTTTATGTGGACTAATAACTTATCAGGTATTTAAATGAATAACTAAACATGGTGGGTGTTACTGCTAAGAAATGGGCGCATTGGTACATATTTACTGATAGTTACTTTTTTGTGTTATTAAGTTTTACAGCCAAACGACTAAATGGTTTGCTGAGATGAAATGAATATAGAATAAGTCCAAGCACCAAATGATGATACAATGAGATAAATATATCGATAAAATAGTATACATTTGTTGTTGCCAAAGTATGCACCAATTAACCACAGTATGATTTAGATAGTGTCACTACCAAATATAAGTAATCTTATAAAAATAAAAAGGTCAGTTGGTGGATCTAGACCTCATACATTTGAAGGAAAACTGTTCACTGTATACGTGAAGATCTCTAGTGAAAAATACATACAAAGATCATAACCTAAAAGTTCAAAAGTTGTATGTTTCCAGTATACAAAAAAAGATTTCACGTCACAACGCCATAATAAAATAGGATGAATGCGAAGTAAATGAATCATGTATTCGAGAGATTAATAATGATGTTAAACTAGTAATAATAATACAAAGATATGTGAATAAAGATGACAGATACAATTACATTTGACTAAGAAAGGTTGTAAGTACATCAGTCAAAATAGGTCATTCAGTAGCTAAGATTACTATTGAATAATTGTCCTCCAGGTTAGTCAGAGAAAAAGAAGCGGTTTAAGATATTTCTTTTGTACATATAGCTCCGGTTTCTTAATCTGGATAGCTAGTGCTTCAGACGTTTGAAGGACTCTGAGTTTGACAGGCTTCGGTAAAAAATTACTGACCCGATAAATAATTGAAAAGAAATGGTTTATAATGGCACTCTGACTAATTTGCACTAAATGAGCCAATATCGAGCTGTTCACTTTCTTCACTAGACCTTTGCTTAGCCACGCTAGGAGGTGTTCACGGAGACGAAAATGTAAATTCCTGGAAGTTTGATCAATATAACCTGCTCCGCAAGAGCAGTCGGACTGATAAGTGTAAAATGAGGTGGTCATTCTAGATAATTCATCTTTTAGCTTTGGTGTCATCAATGGGTGCGTAGAAAACATTAATCATAGTTCTCCGGAGTCGAATGATATATGGATTGTTGTGTAATCCCTGAATTAATATTTTGCTAGCAGTAACCACTCTGAATTGTAGGCGCATGAACATGGATTTCTTATTCACTGTTTGTAATTCTCCTATTCTAACCTTCGTGATTATACATTTGGGGCATCCGTTCTTCCTAAGTGTGTTACACAAGGCGTTTAGCCCTTCTTGGACGAACCAATCAGACATAAAATAACAAGTCTTAGATTTTGGCGCGAAATTCATTTATACATTTTGCTAAATAGCGTTTTGGGATTATAGCTGGTATCAGTTCGTGACGAAAACCCTAAATCTAATTCATAAACCTAACCCTCAACTGTAAATCATAATTCTGATTCCTGACACCGGATTATAACCTTAATTTAGTCCTGGTTAGTTGGTGGACATTCTCATGGTCACTTTAGCATCGCTCAAAGATCGTCAACAAATTATAGTCTCGCCCAAAATTCTACAATTTACAACTAAAAGATTGGTTATATGATCTACACATTCACGTTGACCTAAATAATAGGATTTTTTTTCTACAAACGTAAGAAAAACACCTTGCACTTGACCACATAAAGAAAAAAACAATCTTCAGTGTCTATTGATCATCAACAGTTATTAGATTTGTTTATTTCACCAACAAATCACGACTGCAGAAGAAATCACAAATGAATTCATATGGCAACATTTTCACTCCAGATATATTTCCAGATTTTAAATGTTTTTTTTTTCCAAGGTTTTCAATCATAAAAAATAATTTCTAGGTACACATTACCTTATTATAGTTTGACCAACTGAAAACCACCAGTTGAAGTTAAAAAGAAAATCGAAGTTATAAGTTAGAGTTTAAACATGTAACATAATGTATTTATTATTTTTTTTTATAGAGTGCGTATTATTTCGCTGATATTCAAGATTGTATTTGATCAATTGTTGCTGTCATGTAGGTTCCTTAGATGGATTTGACACTATAGTCTAGAATTACGAGCTGAAGGCGACTATGTGTAGTTCATTCCTTTCCTTTTCAATTTAAAAAGGCAGTTTTAAGACTGATCTATATCAATGCATTTGGGCGCCTATCTTAGAAGTTTTATCAGTCCTGATAGGTTAATCTGACGAGATCTCTGAAAAATCACTTGTGGCATAGATGGGATATTCATCCAAAAATTAAAGGATGAACATATTGAGTAGCAATGTCTTTTGCTCTAGTTTATAGCTGTAAGGCGGGATTCTTAAAAATAGAGGGCATTTGTAGTCTACTACTATTCAAACATAGATCCTTTTGATGCATTGTTTTTATATGTATGGCGCCATCGAGTGACCAAGGGTACTAAAAAGGATGGTAAATCGGTAGACAAAGTAGCGAATCTTTATGAAATGAGGTAACTCGGACATGTATTATTATGTATACCCAGCCACAGCCTACCTCAATGAACAGTTTTAGGTGATGTAGAAGTATGGAAAAAAGCGAAGGGCAGTCAAAGCAAAACTTGAGATATATCTATGAAGTCATTAACTCATGAACTTAGATATTTTGACAAGTGCAAACGACTGGGTTAGGGTCCATCCGATTATCTTGATCACTGGTTAGAGATGATATGACTCATAATCTGTTACAACGTAGCAAATGCATTCACTCTTAATCTTAAAAGGTCTAGATTCCACTAACAGTCACTATCCAAAAATACAAACAACATGCAAATCAATATATGAAAATCATTTGTTTCAATGACGTTTAGTCTTAACACTGGACTATGATCATTTAAAACGGTAATTTAAACAAAAGTGAGTGAAACAGTAATATAACAAAGAGGATAATTATCATTTCAATCTGATAGATTTCTTAGTTAAATTTTAAACAAAAGAACCAGTCCTTTTTTCAATAAATGAAAATGACTATTATTAGTGAGATTTTTGTTTGGTTTTAATCTAGTGAACAAAAAAACACACAATGACAAATGAATTTTGAAAAGAAGGAAAGAGAATGAATAAAATACAGAAGAGTAAAGTATAATTAATTGACCAATGCATATATATATATATATATATATATATATATATAGAGAGAGAGAGAGAGAGAGATTATTTTAATATCTACGAGGAATTATTGAAATTCACATAATCTCACCGACAGTTAATATATCACCGTATACAAGAAACCTCCGAATTTGTTAAATTACAATGAATGAGTTCAGATGTACGTTATATATATTCTACAGATATTTCTCTCTCTGTAGTGTTTTTTTTCTTATAATGAACATGATTCTGTACTGACCAACTGCTATATGACAGTATTAAATGATATAATATAATAATATAATATATAATATAATATA